AACAAAGAGACGGAACAAAGCTCACAGGGTCCATTTACAGCCATGCGTGTCCACCCGCCCCCCCCACACCACAATCCCAGCAACCCCCAGGAGTATTACACCCGTGTGTATGTGCATTAAAAGCTGCAACAAGTCAGATGGAGCACGTCTCATTTCCTGACACCCAGCATCATCTAGCTCTATCCTTCCTAGCCCGGGAGGGGGTTGAGCCAGGAAAAGCAAAAACCTCAGTTTTAAAAAGGGCCACTGCACCCAAACTATAGATCTTTACGTAAAAAGAGGCCACTCATGAACAAAAATATAAAGATGTCAGGTGACACCAGAATAGAAGGTGGTGCAGGTGACTTCCTGTCCAGTGATCTCACATCCTGTCTACTGTCCCCCCCTTCAGACGAAACTGATAACACAGAACAAGCTGCCGGCTGAGTCACCACAATGCAAAATATATATATATATAGCTATATAAATAAAGGGATGACTGATCCCGGTGTATTGTATACACCGGGATCAGTCATCCCTTCATTGTCACCTCCATGTGTCTCTCCTCCTGGAAGAGTCCCGGCCCCCGTGTCCTACACACCACCTGCTGCACTCCGTCTCCACCACAATGAGCCAAGTATAGACTACAACCTGCACACAGGACACTGGGGGGCCCTCCACCCAAAACTGCACAGCCCCTGAAGGGTTACATCTCTGTATGAGAGAGGAACAGGAGGGAGGGAGGGAGAGGGGGAATGAATAAGGAAAGGAAGGAAAGCGCAAAGAAAGGAAAAGGAAAAAAGAAAGGAAAAGGAAAAAGGAAAGGAAAAGGAAAAAAGAAAGGAAAAGGAAAAAAGAAAGGAAAAGGAAAAAAGAAAGGAAAAGGAAAAAAGAAAGGAAAAGGAAAAAAGAAAGGAAAAGGAAAAAAGAAAGGAAAAGGAAAAAAGAAAGGAAAAGGAAAAAAGAAAGGAAAAGGAAAAAAGAAAGGAAAAGGAAAAAAGAAAGGAAGGGAAAAAAGAAAGGAAAGGAAAAAAGAAAGGAAAGGGGAAAAAAGACAGGAAAGGGGGAAAAAGACAGGAAAGGGGAAAAAAGACAGGAAAGGGGAAAAAAGAAAGGAAATGGGACAACACAACAGGAAGTGAGGAGAAAGTCCGTCACAGGAGCCGTGTCCCCATTGGAACATTTCTCCTCACATGCTATTCCAGCGACAACCATAAAATTCTGGATCTTCCATCACTTTCTACACGGTTGCTATGGTTACAAGGTGATTTGTAACTGTTACAATGTAACAATAAATGTCCCGTGTCTGGATGTCGCCGCCTTTTACTCTCCTGGACCGTAATCACAGAACTTGTGCCGGTGCAGAAAGTCACAGACGCTGCTGTGTGGAATTTCCTCTCACTTCCTGTTGTGACTATCAGACAGGAAGTGAAGGGAAATCTCCCCAATGGGACACAGATGGTAAAAAGTAAAATCTAACCTCCCTTACTGTACACAAAACTAAACAAAAATGTGGGCTTAATGTCTAAGTTTTGGACATCATGGCAAAGGGTTAGAGTTACCCAGGTGCCCAAGCTGTGGCCCTTGGGGGACCCCGGCAGTCAATAGTCTGTGTTTTGGTGCTTTTAAGAGGTTTGGGTTATTTTTTTTACCATGCAGGCTATGATCGTCTCTGACAACTCCCATCACACATCCATCTCCTGTAGGATGCCAGGGGCTCTGACCATCTCCTGTTACATATCTGTGCTCTCTGACAGCTTTCTGCAGCCGTACATATAATCATTATCATGTGTGGCCCTTTGGGGGTGTCAGGGGCCACACCTCAAAGGCCCACCCTGTAACAAGTGATTTGGGTTAGAACCCTTCATTTGTTTTATCGCTTGGTTGACAAGTCACCAGTACAGGAAGTGAAGGTGAATCTCCCCAAGAGGGACACCGGCAGCATTTTTAACCCTTTCCCACCCTAACCAAAACAATTATTTTTTAAGTTTGACGTAGCATTATTAACTGGCGATTTATCAAACCCAAACACAATGACGATCATGCACAGCGATCACTAAGGGCTATGATGACCACTGTTGTCAAGGGAGTCTGTGAAACTTTGTACAGCGCCACAGCATATGACAGCACCATATGAATGATCTCAGTGGTATTATGTGTTTCTGGTTCTGTGGTAGGCTGTGAAAAGTGACTGTGTGCAGGACAAAGTGGAGGGTACCGGAGGCCAGGGACCAAAGTGGAGGGTACCGGAGGCCGGGGACCAAAGTGGAGGGTAGCGGAGGCCGGGGACCAAAGTGGAGGGTACCGGAGGCCGGGGAGCAAAGTGGAGGGTACCGGCGGAGGCCAGGGAGCAAAGTGGAGGGTACAGGCGGAGGCCAGGGAGCAAAGTGGAGGGTACAGGCGGAGGCCAGGGAGCAAAGTGGAGGGTACAGGCGGAGGCCAGGGAGCAAAGTGGAGGGTACAGGCGGAGGCCAGGGAGCAAAGTGGAGGGTACAGGCGGAGGCCAGGGAGCAAAGTGGAGGGTACAGGCGGAGGCCAGGGAGCAAAGTGGAGGGTACAGGCGGAGGCCAGGGAGCAAAGTGGAGGGTACAGGCGGAGGCCAGGGAGCAAAGTGGAGGGTACAGGCGGAGGCCAGGGAGCAAAGTGGAGGGTACAGGAGGCCAGGGAGCAAAGTGGAGGGTACCCGGAGGCCAGGGAGCAAAGTGGAGGGTTACCGGAGGCCAGGGAGCAAAGTGGAGGGTACCGGAGGCCAGGGAGCAAAGTGGAGGGTACCGGAGGCCAGGGAGCAAAGTGGAGGGTACCGGAGGCCAGGGAGCAAAGTGGAGGGTACCGGAGGCCAGGGAGCAAAGTGGAGGGTACCGGAGGCCAGGGAGCAAAGTGGAGGGTACCGGAGGCCAGGGAGCAAAGTGGAGGGTACCGGAGGCCAGGGAGCAAAGTGGAGGGTACCGGAGGCCAGGGAGCAAAGTGGAGGGTACCGGAGGCCAGGGAGCAAAGTGGAGGGTACCGGAGGCCAGGGAGCAAAGTGGAGGGTACCGGAGGCCAGGGAGCAAAGTGGAGGGTACCGGAGGCCAGGGAGCAAAGTGGAGGGTACCGGAGGCCAGGGAGCAAAGTGGAGGGTACCGGAGGCCAGGGAGCAAAGTGGAGGGTACCGGAGGCCAGGGAGCAAAGTGGAGGGTACCGGAGGCCAGGGAGCAAAGTGGAGGGTACCGGAGGCCAGGGAGCAAAGTGGAGGGTACCGGAGGCCAGGGAGCAAAGTGGAGGGTACCGGAGGCCAGGGAGCAAAGTGGAGGGTACCGGAGGCCAGGGAGCAAAGTGGAGGGTACCCGGAGGCCAGGGAGCAAAGTGGAGGGGACAGGCGGAGGCCAGGGAGCAAAGTGGAGGGGACCCGGAGGCCAGGGAGCAAAGTGGAGGGTACAGGCGGAGGCCAGGGAGCAAAGTGGAGGGTACAGGAGGCCAGGGAGCAAAGTGGAGGGTACCCGGAGGCCAGGGAGCAAAGTGGAGGGGACAGGCGGAGGCCAGGGAGAAAAGTGGAGGGTACAGGCGGAGGCCATGGAGCAAAGTGGAGGGAACAGGCGGAAGCCAGGGACCAAAGTGGAGGGTCCCTGGAAGGCCAGCTACAGGCTCCCCACCCCCATGGCAGACATGAACTATTCATAGGGATAGGGTGACACCAGGCCCCAGCCCTTACCTTGAAGTCATTGCCGCTCAGGTCTACCCCCCGGATAAAAGGCAGCACCCCAGTGGCCGCCATGTCCGGTGCCAGGGAGGGTCCGTCTACTCTACACTCAACAGCAGAAGCAGCAGCAGGAAGAGATCAGGACCCGCCCCCTCCGCTCACTCAAGCTTCGGAACAGCCACACCCTAGCCCTGCGTCTCCCGAGCCCCGCCTACTTCACTCTCTCGCTGCCGGAGAGCTGTCACTCACCGCCGCGGCAGCCAATCGCTGTCTTAGCTGTCACTCACTGTCTAAGTGGTCCTGTCAGCGAGTTTACAAAACATAATCATAATACATTATTCCGAACGCCTCAGTGGATGAGCGGCAACCCTCACGTGACTCATTTTTTAGGAGCTTTGTATTTAAAAGTAAAGTTTGGTTACAGTGTATTGGGTGTATTGTGGGTGTACTGGCTGCTCGTTCTCTTTAAATCATACTAAGTTTCGCTCATATGCTTCTAATGGGTTAATCGGCTGCGCGCGGGAGACGTCACGCAGAAGCCGCTCTCCCATTGGCCGTGAGTAGGTTCTATTTTAAGGCTTGAAGCCTCCCTGACGTCTGATGTTGTTTTCTTCTTTTTTTTAAATTATTGCGGCTCTCATTGGCTGCACCGCGCCACCTGCCCGCTGATTGGTCCGGGATTCCATACGTGAGCTGTGATTGGCGGGCCTTACGGAAGTCCCGTAACTGGCTGGCCGATGGATACCTGCGATTGGTCGGGGTGCTCTGCTGCGTGCGGACTGACGGAGGAGGAAAAGAACGAAGAGGCTGCTGGCAGCGGGAAGAGGAGCGGAGCTGGCCGGGGGAGCGGGTGAGTGTGAGGGGATCACCGGGGAGAAAGACGGGGGATAGTTACCTGAGAGTGTGAGCTCAGTGAGGGGGCGGGGCTTGCTGTTATCTGAGCAAGGAGAGGCCCATTCTACATGAAGGGCGACATTCCACCCGAGCTGGGTGCTGTGGCAGCACTGGAGACGGGTTCGAATCCCCCCAGGGGTCTCAAGTGTATGTCCCCAGGACACAAGGGGGGGCAACTGGCATTTGACAAAATGATTATCTGCTGCGGATTCACTCTGCTCTCTCCTCCTATCAGCATGCTCCTTATTGGCATATTATTTATTGAGCATACACTCCTGATTGGCTCCTGGGGCTGCTTCTCTCTCCCCCAGTCTGAGCTCTGCTGTACAGGGAACTGATAACAACTCAAGTTTAATCTCTGTTAATTATTTACATGTATGATGTATTAGGTGATGACAGACGAAGCACCGTGTGTGCGTTGAATGGTTTCCTCTCTCTCTCTGCAGTCTGATGATGGCAGAAATGCAGCTTCAGAAGAAAGGGAAGAAGGCGGACGATGGGATCGGTAGCGTGTTGGACTTCCTGTTGGCCAACGCCAGGCTGGTGCTGGGTGTGGGAGGGGCCGCCATGCTCGGGATCGCCACACTGGCGGTGAAGCGGGTAAGGATCGGTATCTGGCAGCTTTTTATGTCCCGAGGAGGTCACAGGTCGCCGCGGAACCTTCAGGAAGACACATTGATCAGTTGTAGAATGGGGGAGATTTGTGTGAGGTCAGCCTGTGTCGGGGGACAACTTCGCTGCAGATCAGACTGGTGGAGCGGGGAGGAAAATATCATCCAGACTGCTGTGTGCTTAATGTCACCCCCCCCCCCAATTACTGTCAGGGGGAGATCCTCCATGTTTTTAGGACGGTGTCCTCATCAAGGTTTGATTAGGGATTAAAAGAAAACAAAGTAATCTGAGCTTCTGTGACATCATCTGTCTGTCATCTGTAGATGACTTCAGTCACTTGGGTGCTAGGAAATTAGCTGGGGCTAGGTCATTGGACCGGGAGCTAGGACCTGGGGGTGGCTATTGGAATGGGGGCTAGGCCATTGGACCAGGAGCTAGGCCATTGGACCAGGAGCTAGGCCATTGGACCAGGAGCTAGGCCATTGGACCAGGAGCTAGGCCATTGGACCAGGAGCTAGGCCATTGAGCATGGGGCTGGGTTATTGGACCGGGAGCTAGGACCTGGGGCTGGCTATTGGAATGGGGGCTAGGGCATTGAGCAGGGGCTGGGTTATTGGAGCAGGGGCTAGTCCAGTGGACCAGGGGCTGGCTATTGGAATGGGGGCTAGGGCATTGAGCAGGGGCTTGGTTATTGGAGCAGGGGGCTCGGCCATTGAACCGGGGGCTAGGCCGTTGACCAGGGGCTTGGCCATTGGACCGGGAGCTAGGCCATTGAGCATGGGGCTGGGTTATTGGAGCAGGGGCTAGTCCATTGGACCAGGGGCTGGCTATTGGAATGTGGGCTAGGGCGTTGAGCAGGGGCTGAGTTATTGGAGCAGGGGGCTAGTCCATTGGACCAGGGGCTGGCTATTGGAATGGGGGCTAGGGCATTGAGCAGGGGCTTGGTTATTGGAGCAGGGGGCTCGGCCATTGAACCGGGAGCTAGGCCGTTGACCAGGGGCTTGGCCATTGAACGGGGAGCTAGGCCGTTGACCAGGGGCTAGGGCATTGAGCAGGGGCTGGGTTATTGGAGCATGGGGCTAGTCCACTGGACCAGGGGCTGGCTATTGGAATGGGAGCTAGGCCGTTGACCAGGGGCTGGGTTATTGGAGCATGGGGCTAGTCCACTGGACCAGGGGCTGGCTATTGGAATGGGAGCTAGGCCGTTGACCAGGGGCTGGGTTATTGGAGCATGGGGCTAGTCCACTGGACCAGGGGCTGGCTATTGGAATGGGAGCTAGGCCGTTGACCAGGGGCTGGGTTATTGGAGCATGGGGCTAGTCCACTGGACCAGGGGCTGGCTATTGGAATGGGAGCTAGGCCGTTGACCAGGGGCTGGGTTATTGGAGCATGGGGCTCGGCCATTGGACCGGGGCCTAGGACTGACTGATAGTTACTCCATCACTGTACACAAATGAATTGTATAGGTTTTTCTCTGGGGACCAATGGAGATTTCTTTCTGTGGTAGTAAATGAAATCCGAGGGGTTAATCATTTTATTTTACTATATAAAGGAAAAAAGATCAAACTTCTAGAAAAAAAACGTGTCCCTGACTTTGTTATGGAACTGTAGTTGTTCAGAACGCCTCTAGGTGGAGCTGTTCTCCATTCACTGCCTTGTATCCTCTTCTCTTCTACAGCTTATTGACCGGGCCGCCTCTCCCC